GTAAATAAAGCTGGAAGCTCCCCGATGGCACCAAAGAGAGGCCAAGTACAGTGTCCATTTGAAGGCCTCTTTCATTTTAAACTAGTCAGCCTTATGCTCTTTTCTGTCAGAGACTAGTCCTCTAGCCCGTGCGTAGAGGGCCTTGGTCCATCTCTCATCGTGCTGGAGGTCAACGGAGACAGTGTAACCACATTTGATTTCCCTCTGCCCCTCAGACCAAGCCAGTGGTGGAAGCATCGACTGGGCCTATGATATTGGCATCAAATACTCATTTGCCTTTGAACTGAGAGACACAGGCTCATATGGCTTCCTCCTGCCAGCCAAGCAGATCTTGCCCACGGCAGAAGAAACCTGGCTTGGCCTGAAGACCATCATGGAGCATGTACGAGACCACCCCTATTAGGGATCTGCAGAACAGACAGACACCATTAAAATCTCTGGTGTAAAGCAAAACCGGCTCCTGACTATTCCTTATTCTAGCCCTAACCTGGAACTTAAGCATTTCTTTTCTTTCTTCTTCATTTTGTTTGTTTGCTTGTGGGACTGGGATTTGAACCCAGGGACTTGCCCTTGCTAGCTGAGCCCTTCCCCACTGAGCCTCATTCTCAGCTCCTGTTTCTCCAGTTTCTGTTGTCCCAAAGCCACGAGTCCCTGTGTTGTACCTGTGTCTTTCTGTTTAACTTGTTCTAAGTGAACTATTCCCAACACCCTTTACATTTTTAATGTAATAAGTTACATATGATACAAATTTGTTGTTTTATTTTCTTCGGACAGTGTTTCATGTGGTTGAGGTTGGGTCTGAACTCCCGAGCCTTTAAGGTGCTGGGATCACAGGCACATGCTGCCACACCTGGCTGTTGATAATTGGGGGGGGGGGCAGTAGCTAACAAAGATATTTTAGTAAGAGAAAGAGACATGGGCTAGAGATATTAACTCAGCGTTAAGAGCGCTGGCTGCTCTTACCGAGGACTCCCATTTGACTCCCACCTTCACCGTGGTTCACAACTTCTGTAGCTCCAGCTCCAGGGGATCTCATGCCCTCTTTTAACCTCTTCTGGTACCAGGTATGATAGGTACACAGATACCCATGTAGACAAAATATCTACATACATCAAATCAAATCAATAAATCTTTAAAAAGCAAGACGCAGAATAAGAGGAGCTCAGAAGAAAGCAAGATACACCCAAGAGTTTGGGTATAGGCTTTCCAAAGAAAAACGCCCCAAAGAGAGAGAGAGACTAAAGTATACGATGGGCTCATCAAGGGAGAATTGTCCTGTGATCATTCTTGAGACAAGGTCTCTCTCTATGTAGCCCCTGGCTGTCCTGGAACTCTCTTGTGTAGACCAGGGAGGCCTCGAACTCACAGAGATCCACCTGCCTTTGCTTCCCGAGGGTGGAGATTAAAGGTGTGAGCTCTCATGTCTGGCCCGTTGATTGATCATTTATTTATTTATTTTGATTTTCGAGACAGGGTTTCTCCGTAGCTTTTTTGGTTCCTGTCCTGGAACTAGCTCTTGTAGACCATGCTGGCCTCGTGCCTCCCGAGTGCTACGTTGGTTATTCTTAAGGGTTGGGTTCTTTATTGAGGGGAAAGCTCAGCAGTGTTGTGTGTGCACTATGTTGTGCCGTTGTCACCGGTGTCCATCTCCAGAACTTTCTCATATCATCTCCAATTGGAGCACCTACTCATTAATTGGAAAATCGGCATTGCCCTCCCCTCTAGCCTCTCATAACCATTACTGTACTCTCTGTCTATGAATTTTGTGAGGGCAGGTACCACATGAACTGAAATTCCATAGCATTCATCATTCTATGTGGGGCCGATTTCACATAACAAAATATTTCCAAGGCTCATCGATGTAGCAAGTGTCAATCCTTCATCTTTTTTCCTTCCTTCCCTCCCTCCCTCCCTCCTTCCTTCCCTCCTTCCCTCCCTCCCTCCCTCCCTCCCTCCCTCCCTTCCTTCTTTTCTTTTTGGTTAGGGTCCCACTAAGTAGTACAGGTGATCCTCCTGTCTCGGTATGTCAAATGCTATGACTTCAAGTTTCAGACATGGACTGCCATGACCAGCTGAGCCCCTTTATTTTAAATCAGTGGTTCTCAACTTTCCTAATGCTGTGACCCTTTAATACAGTTCCTCATGCTGTGGTGACCTCCCCCAATCATAAAATTATTTTATTGTTACTTCATAACTATACCTTTGCTACTATTAAGAATTGTAATGTAAATGTCTGTTATACAGGATGTCTGATATGCCATCCCCAGGCTGAGAACCGCTGTTTTAAGTAGCGCAGCATTTCAGAGTTAGCAATGGATTTAAGTTCCTTCATTCACTCAATACAACAGAAAGATGCCAGGCATCTGGCTCCTGTGTATCCTTTGGTGTTGTATGAGGAGGGGGCCCCTTGTTTGTCCCGGCTGCCCCGCTAGTTTACACCCGAAATAACCACACAGAAACTGTATTAATTAAAACACTGCTTGGCCATTAGCTCTAACTTCTTATTGGCTAACTCTTATATATTAGTTTAACCCATCTCCATTAATCTGTGTATCGCCACGTGGCAGTGGCTTACTGGAGATTCTAACTGGCGTCCATCTCTGATAGAGGATCCATGGCTTCTCTGACTCTTCCCTTCTTCCTTCCAGTATTCAGTTCTATTTTCTCTACCTACCTAAGTTCTCCCCTATCAACTAGGCCAAGGCAGTTTCTTTATTCATTAACCAATGAAAGCAACACATGAACAGAAGAACATCGTATACCACTTTGGTCTTGTTGCCTTGTGCCCCATTGAGTTTGTCTTTCTGCTTGCACACAAATTCTCTTTAGACATGCCATTCCATTAATGATTTAGATTTCTTTACTCATTTATATATTTATAGATGACATTCCTTGGGAAACAGTGGGAAATGGGTTTCAGCACATAGAACTCTGGGTCTAGAACTAAATAGTTCTTTTTATCATGCTTCTAGCTGATTCCAGTCTTTTGTTTCTCTTACTATTAACTTCAAAGATGAAGTCTGGCTTGACGTGCACTAGAGTCCCACCTCTGGTGGATAGGGAAGGTATAGGTTCAGCTAAAGTGTTGGGAGGACACAGAGCTCTGACATCTGCCACATCTGATGGAGGCGACCCTTGGGTCTCAGTGACTTCTCCTCCTCCCTTTTTATTAGGTTGGTTCTTTGACCCTGTCAGAACCTGTACTAAGACAGACAAGGTAAGTCATTCTTGTTTAATTTCCTCATCCTTCACTGTTGATGATGGTATGTCCTTGACATGCCTTAGTTTAGCAAGAATCCCCTTCCCTTGATGCTTCCTCTTAGTAAATTTCCATCTACTGATCCTCTCATCCTACTGTCTTTGCTGCATTTGGCCCCAAGAGGAAACTAGCCCCTCCTACTACTGTAGCCGTGATCTCCATGGCAATGATTGCCAATGAAATCTTCCTTACTTTTTTAACAAGTGCCAGAATAAATCTCAATGCTGCCAGCCATGACCCTTGGCTCTATGTACTACCCAACCCTTCAGCAAACACGAAAAGGATGAATCCATGTGGAGAGTGGGAGGGGATGAGTTGGGGTTTCTTGGACAAAGCCATATGCCTGAAAATAAGCCACCAATGTCATGAATAATGTCCACTTATTCTGCCGACTTCAGACTCACAGGGTAGCTAAACCTCAGGAAGACTTACTATTTAGTTTGATCAGAGATGGGCTTGAGTCTGGGCGTGATGACATACACCTTTAATCCCAGTGCTTGAGAGGCTGAGGCAGGAGAATCTCTGTGAGTTTGAGGCTAGCCTGGTTTACATAGTGAGTTCTAGAATACCTTAAAAAAAAACTGGAGTTAGTGGCTCAGGCCTGTTATCCCAGCATCTGGGAGGTTGAAGCGGGAGGATTATGAGTTCAAGGCTAACCTGGGATAAAAAGTGATCTCATGTCTCAAAACAAAAACAATTAAAAATTCTGGGATTGGAGCGATGTCTTGGAGGTCAAGATTGCATATGTTCTAGATCTAATCTACGTAGGAAGTAGAAAAAGATCTCCTGCATAAATTGGGAACATGGGGACCTTGGGAGAGGGTTGAAGGGGAGGGGAGAGGCAGGGAGGGGAGCAGAGAAAAATGTAGAACTCAATAAAAATCAATTTAAAAATATTGCATAAGTTCTTGCAGAGGACTTGGGTTTGATTCCCAGTACTAACATGGTGGCTCACAACTGCTGATAGCTCCCATTCCAGGGGATCTGATGATGGGATTTGCTGGGATCTGATGCTCTCTTCTGACCTTGGAAGGTACCTACCTGCACACACACATGGTCTATGTAAACTCACACAGGCACACATGCATACACATAAATAAATAATAAACTTTAAAAAAATAAATTCAAAGCAAACATCATTAAGCCTTATCTGCCATTTAGATCCCAAAGAAAACTGTTAATTTATTATTTATTTCTTCCTATACCATTTACCACCCATATTTCTCTTTTCTTAGTGGAATCCTAAGAATTAGGCCTTTGACCCAATAAACTCTTCTTTATGATCTGCTCTGCTGGGTTCCCTGAACAGGCTTCTTAAGTGTGCCATCTTGGGAGTTGGCCCAAGGCTGCTTGATCGTCTTCGCTTCCCAAACAGTTGTTTATTTCTCTAGAAGTGACTCCATCTTGGGTTTACAAACTGGCCTCTCCCGTCAGTACAAATTCCACCCAGCAGTGTGGGATCTTTCCATCAAAGAACACCATTTAGATGCCAAGCGATGAGCAATGTGGCACCCTAGGTAAGACGTTCCCAGCTTGTGGAGCAAGTTCCTGCCTTGCAGACGGGGAGGCTGGGCCTTCATCACTGCAATGGAATGGAGGAGGCCTTGGCTGGGGGCCTGCCTTGTCAGAGCTGGAAAGGTGCTGGAGAACCATGTTAGCATTCTTGAGAATATGAGTCTGCCTCGGGCTCCTTTATAAATATGGCTTGACTCAGTCGGTGTGTGATTGGCACCTGGGAGACATGAGATGGTTACTGTTCTTTGGGGCCCTTGTTGGGTCAGGCATCTGCGGCCGAGACAAATTCTTTGGGTGAGTTTCTTCTGAACTTTATTACCATTATTTAGTTATTTCAGCAATCTGGGAGCCAAATGGAGTGATGAAACCTGTGGTGGTGGAGCTTGGGGAAGGACTTGGGCTTTTAAATCTCTCTGTCCCTGTGTCATCCTGGATCAGCCACTTCTCTCTGACACCGGATTTCTTCTGTGAAACCAGAGCTAGTGGTCTCCTCAGGCCTTCCCCATCTCCCCAATCTCCTAATTCTGGGTCTTCCCCCTCCCTCTTTCTAAGGTCAGTTCTAGGCATTTCCTACACCATTGCCTAGGAAGAACAGCCAGAAAGGCTTTGTCAGTTTCTGCAAGGCTTACAGGGAGAAGCTGGGTCACAGGCTTTGGGGACAGAGTCTCAGTCAGTGGTGAAGCCCATGTATTGCTGGTAGTTTCCCAGGCTTCTGGAACAAAGAGATCCAATGGGTCTTGCTTAGCTACACTATGGAAATGCACACCAGGCCTCGGTGTAAGTGTGTGTGCACAGGGCCACACGCTCACCACAGAAGACTGTGGTACTGATGGAGGACAGGAAGTCGGAGAGGCAGGGGAATGACAGGGATGCTCTGGTACGCAGGTAGAGGACTGCATTAGAATAACTCATCACTGCGGAACACTCTGCCTTCTGCAAAGAGCCTTCGTGTGCATCCTCTTATGGATCATGTAACCGCTCTGTCAGGCAAGGCTGTTATTTTCCTCAATTTAAACATAAAAAAAACCCCACGGTCTTAAAAAGGTTAAAGAACCTGCCCCAAATTACTTAGCTGGTAAGCAGGAAGCCGGAATGCTGCAAGCAAAGCTCATACCCTTTTCTGTAGCAGAAGTCAATCAAATGGAACGCTCCGTGCCACGGATCTACCTGTGTATGCAAGCTTATTCTCTATTATGTTATCTGGCTAAAGGGACCCGAGGGCTGGTTATTGAAGCAATTACTTACATGAGATTGAGTAACTTTTATGGGGATGACGGTTCCTACCTGCCCCTGCTGCCAAACAGCTCGGAGAGGTTAGGCATAGCAGGTGGCCCAGGAGGAAGATTCTGCAGGCAGCTCAGCAGTAGGTGTGCCATGACTACACTCACTGCTGCGTAGGCTGACGCAGGGAGCTGTCAGGCTCCCACTGCGTCTATTCATGTGGCGGAAAAAAAAATCTCTATTTTTCCCGATTCAGACCTTTCTCCTGATACAGTGGGCACCGGGGCTGAGCCATCGGGGCTGGGTGCTGGAGGATTCGCGGCAGGAGTTGTGCACACAAAGGGTCCCTGTGCGGGAGCTGATTACAAACGGTGTTAATCAAACGTGCTGTGGCGTCTCCCAGTCTGTTCTTACTTTGTAGTATTAGGGACCTCAGTGGAGGTGGAAGGATCTTTCCTGGGATCTGTCCGCATGTCGTGGATACCCAATTCAGTGGCTGGAGAGGCCGCAGGGGAGCTGGACTCTGAGCATCTGATTGGTTGGGAAGCCGGACTGGAGACTGGGTAGCGGATATGAGGATGGTGGTTTCTCCCCCCCACCCCATCTCCTGCCCTTGCAGCTTGGTTCTCCTAGCTCCCAGGTCTCTCTCGTTCTCCTGGTATCACCTGTCCTACTTTTCAGATGTCTTAAGGATGAGACAGTGGCCAGGATGCATGGAGGTGTTGGGCAGGTGGAGAACAGGAAGTAGTTGCAGAGCTGGTAGCTGGCAAGCATCCCAGGGTTTCCCGAGGTCACCTCTTATTACTATTAGTCATAGCTGCTAAGCCTGGGCAGGGATGGAGGTGAGAGAGACACAGAGAACTGACCACTTAGCTGCCTTCCTGGTAATAGGGGAGGGGTAGAAGCTGAGCTGCTGGAACAATGACTGAGCATCCCCGGTATGGGACAGGTGTGAGGGTGAGTGAGCAGACATCACCGGTCATGATGCCAAAGACATCTTGGTGTCCTGGGAGTTGGAGAGAGTCAGAAGAGCTGTTAGAACAACCATACTGAGCAGGAGGGGCAGATGAAACACCCGCGAATCCCAACAGTTCCCTTCTCCCAGGCCAATTGCCATCTCCAGAAAGAGCTAAAGGGCAAGGTCTTTGAGTGAATTCCAGCTAGTGCAGTGGGCTGAGGTCAACCAGCTGCCCAGTCGGGAGCCGGAAAGGGTATTTTCCCAGCAGAGATGAGGTCAATGAAGGCAAGAAAAAGCTTGCCCTTTGCATGGTAGCCGCTCTTCTTTTCCACAGCACGATGCTGATGCTCATAAGGAGAATGGTAGACCCTACTCTACCATCGCCACCAATTTTTAGAGCTATTGTACTTAGCTTTGGTTAGGGAAAGCTTCGTGCTTCACATGACCTTGTCTTGAAGATTAGGCGGGAGCCTACCAGGTGCTCACGGACAGGGAATACCATATACAAAGGCACACAAAGGCATCTGAGTGGAATGAACGTGAACTTTCAGGGGAACTGGAACCAAAGCATGCAAAGGTGGGGGAGAGACGGGGAAGATGCTCCATGCGGTACCAGATCGTCTGCCTTGCCTCTTCCTGCACACGGTAGGTGTGTGCATCTTTGACCTGTGTAGCTTGGCCCATTAGAACGTGAGAGAATAGGCTGTGAACATTTTTCCAGGGCCGGTAAAGTCACTGTGTCCCGTTGTCATGGACTGTGCTTGGAAGCATGGGGGGTTTGGCTGTGACATCACCACGTTGGAGAGAGGAACGAACATGTGCACACATTAGAGCCTGGATGAATGTGTCGTCTGCTCTTCATACTCCAAAGAGTTCTTTAGCTGTCCCTCTTTCTTTCCCTGGTCCTTTTCCACCACCACCCCCCTTTCTCTGTGACCACTCTTTGGAAAAGGCCTAATTTTGCCACCCAAGATGTCACTCCTTCTAGCATGCGCATTGAAGAAAGATTTGTTTTTATTAGTTTTAATTATGTGTGTGTGTGTGTGTGTGTGTGTGCCCGAGGAAGCCAGAGGCATCAGCTACCCTGGAACAGGAGTCACAGGCAGTTGTGAGGTTGTGAGCCAGTCAGATGTGGGTGCTGAGGACCTAACATGGGTCATTTGCAAGAACAGTCCGTGTGCTTAACTGCCAAACTGCCTCTCTGGCCCCTAGCATGCTCATCTTAAAGACACTCCTGTTCTGGAGTGTTAGAGATGGTGGATCAGGGTGTGCGTCTGCCAAACTGGCCTTCGTCCTCAGTTACAAAGGTCTACTCTCCACCAAACCCGCTTTGAGGCTGCTTGCCTTCGACAGAGAAATGGTAGTCTGATACCCCATCTTTTCTGGGCTGTAGTCCAACTCTTTGCAGGCCCCGTGGGTTACATATTAGTCAACTCTCTGTTTCTATAACAAAATCCTTGAAGCTGGGTGCTTTCGTTACTCTTTCTGTGGCTGTGATAAAATATTTTGACAAAAGCAGCCCAAGGGAGGAAGGGCTTATTCTGGCTCACAGTTTGAGGATGTGGGCCATCCTAAGGGAAGTCTTGAAGCAGCTGGTCACTTGCGTCCATAGAAGGGAGCCACGGGAACCCATGTTAACTGTGTTTCTATTTTAGTCCAGGTCCTAAGCCTGAGGCCACCTCCTTTAGGTTGGCTCTTCCCACCTCACCTCTACAGCTCCTCACAGGTGTGCCAGAGGCTTGTCTCCTGGGTAATTTTAGGTCCGGTGAGGTTAATAATTACTATTCACTGACACGCTGGATCACATACAAAGAAAAAAAAAAGATTTATCTCACTCATAGCTTTGGAAGTGGACAATCCAAGATTGGGCTACCCTGTCTATTCTGCCTTGGCGAGGGTTCCTGTGTGTGGCATTATGGAGGTTAGTGTATGTGAGAATTGGGGATAGTGTGGCAAGTCAGGATGCCAGAGAGTCTTCATGCTCCGTCTTTTAAACTTACTTTCTTAGGAACTGACTCCACAAAACCGACTTCCAGAGGCCCATTCGATCCATTAGATCAACTGGAGATCAGACTTGAATCTGTGGGGCATGTACAAACCCTATCTGAACCGTTGCAACTTCAGCGGAGAAGCCAAACTAGGCTTCCTGTAGGGCTCTCTGCAGGTTTCATGGGATGCTGTTAGCTGCCTACTTCCAGGACCCCAGGAGGAGGGCTAGGGTGAAAAGGTGTGAGACTTGGGTACTGGCATCTTACCCAGTCCAGTCACCTGTGCTGAGAACAGCTCTGCATTGTGCCTTGTCTTTTGTACCCGGCCTAGCTCTTCCCTGAACTTTCCAGAACTAAGTGAAACACTGGAAGTCCATCCGGATTGAACCGGTTTTCTGGTGAGGAGCCTCCACGTGAGCCTCACATTTAGTTCCCTGTGACAGAGCCATTTACTCTGTCAACAGGTCCTTCAGCCCACATCCCTCTCCAGCAGCTCCTCCGGCATTCACTCCTGTCAGGAATGACGCATGTGACAGAGTCGAGTGCGGATTCATTTGGCCGTCACCTAGCAACGCCTAATGGCTCCGCTGGCTCTCTGCGAGCTGAGAGCTCAAAGACGGCTTTTCAGGCCTAGCCTTCTCCCACCCACGCAGGACTTGGGGGCCCTCATCCCCTGCCAACGCTGCAGAAGCTGAATGATGCATAGGAAACAAGAGCGGGACGAGCGACAGGAGGGGGGCTGCCGCTAAACAGGCTTCTTCCGGGCGCTCTCAGGGCCCGCGAGGCAGCCATGAATCTCAGGTTGAGCCGCATACCCTACCTAGTCCACGTCCAATCCCACTGCAAAGCACATGTGTGGGGCTGGGAGGAATAGTTAGTGCCCTCATCCCGGCCTCCCGGGACAGAGGGTCTGTTCCCAAAAGTTCCCCGCTCTTCCAGGCATGAAGGTTCCCTCCGTCCGGGTGTCAGCCCTCGCCTTTGACAGTGAAGAAGTGTTTCTTTATGTCTTGACTCAGCCTGGAGCCTCACTCAGGGACATTCCTTTCTGTAAAAATATATATGTTTTTCATTATAAAGTAATATGACCAGATTGCAGAAAACAGATACAAGAGGGGAAAAAGTAAGCCATCCATAATCCCACGACCCAAACGAGCCCTGGCAGCGTTTGCTTGATTTCCGTTGTCTGTTTTGCTTCCAGTCCAGCTGCTTTTCCCATACTGGTAATCATGGCGTACATACAATCCCGCGTCCTGCTCCTTCACTTAATATCCCCCTTAAAGTTGGACATAAGCACTTTTCCATCCTTGCCACACAGCCTTGTTTTTAATGGCTATACATTATAACCAAAGACTAGACTGTTTCCTTCCCTGCAGCACAGCCCTGTCTGGGATGGTGGGTTGGGGGGTCCACTTGCCAGCTGAGAGCTCACCATTATCGCCCTCTCCCTATTCCCTCCCCTTCTCCAGGGACCAAGTTTTTAGGATTAATGTCAGAAATGAAGACGAGATCAGAATACTGACTCAGCTAGTGAATTCCGACCACTTTAAGGTATGTATGTGGTTCTTCTTCGTCCTCTGGAATGTTCCGAGTTTGAGGAGGAACGATCCTTGTGTTTGTTTTTATCCCTGCGTGTTTTCCGTTCATAGTGGAGTATTAGCTAACATGCCAGTCACACGGGTGGGCAGCGAGTGAGAGAGGGGCAGGGGAGAAGGCCTGCGGGGCTCAGTGTTGATGCTTTGTTAGTTGGGAGGCCTGAGCTGTGGGCTCCGGCTTCCTGTAGCCCCCCCACCCCCATGTCTCTTGGGCTTTGTTAGGTACTGGGCCGCATGTCTGACCAGATATGCCAGTGAAATGGGGGATGTTTGTCCCTGGGCGGGACTCAGGGGTCACCCCGGCTTCCAACAGTGGTTCTAAAGAACCTGAGCTCAATGTCATGTTTTACCCGAGCTGTTTTTTTAACCTGATGCATTTCTGTTCACCTCAGCTCAATGTCTGGAAATCTCCCTCCACTTTTGGTCGGCCCGTGGACATCCTCGTCCCCTCTGTCAGCCTGTTGCCTGTCAAGTCCTTCCTGAAGTCCCAGGGCTTAGACTACTCAGTGACAATTGAAGACCTCCAGGTGGGTAGGCCAGGAACTCTTGCTGGTCTTGCATAATAAGATGAAGCCACCAATAAGACTGGACCTGGGAGGTTTTAAGAATGTCCAGTGTCATCCTTTCTCGCCTCCCAGGTGAAGAAGTTGAGACAGATGGAAGCAGAGTGTAATAACTCGTTCCGGGGCGAGCGTGCTGTAGGGATAGGTAGCTGCACAGATCTCCATCTAAGTCCTGACTTGCTAACCACTAGTCTGTGTCCTTGGGCAAGCGTGTGCCCTCATGAGCCTCCATTTCATCCTTGCTATGATGGTGATCATGATTCCCACTTCAACAGTGTATAGAGGTAATGCTTCTATCAACTATATAGAATACATCTAACAGTAGCTGGCACACCATGGATGCTTCCGTAGGTAATCATTCATCCTCCTTTTTCATATCTGAAGTTAGAAGGCAAGTGTGTGTGGGTGGGTGGGGGATACTGGGAACCAATCAAAAGAGGTATCTTTTGAGAAAGCGAATGTCACTGATAGTTCCCAGCAGAGGGAACAGCGCCGTACAGCCCCACAACCTACATTCAACAGCAGGACGGTGCCCCTGACTCACGCTCTCTCCTTCACCAAGGAGGGTTATGGACTAATTGTTGATTTGGCCTGGGTTTTTCCTGATGGTGTGAGCAGCTGTGAGCTTATTAATCATCCTCACATGGCACAGACATCTGCCAAGAACCTTCAAAGTATGAGTGCTTATAAGAATTTCTTTGTTTCTGAATGGCTTCCCAAGCTGTGTGCTTCAGAGCCACTGGATACCAGATGCGAGCTGATGCCTAGAGATTTCGTACCATAGAAAAGCCGAATCGCGCACATGTTACTTCCAGGGAGCAAGCGGGTTTTGCGGGGGATAATGGAAATCGGATATTAAAAAGCAAGGTTTTATAGATATATGGGAAAAATATCTGACCCTCCCTCTTTTTTTAAAAATGAAAGGCAGGATGGTTTGTTATTATTTTTAATTGTGTCACACCGGCTACATAATCAACACACATAATTATAGACAGCTCTTCTTCTGGGTATGAACATTGCACTAGTTTCACGTGCCGAAAAGTTTCGATAGAACCAAGAATGTTAGGGAATAAAGACCTTCAGCTTAGGAACACTGATAATTCCATTGTCTTACCCCACAGAATTAATGGAAACCCCTTGGGAATTAGTAGCATTAGAATGTGATGTAGTCAAGACGAAAGCGATTTTTAGCTGTATGCAGCATGAACTTACCTTCTCTTGAATTGTAATCTCTGGTTTGTATAATTTACGGTCTCTAGCCCCTTTAGACCTCGGACATTTGTGTTGCTTGTTACCCTGAGGGTGATGCCATCTTGGCCAATCTATGCACCCAGATAAACCTGTATCTCCAGGGGATCCCTTCTTCACCATGTTTCTGTGTCTTTTTTATTTTTTTTTCAGGCCCTTTTAGATAATGAAGACAAAGAAATGCAACACAGTGAAGGGCAGGAGCGGAGTGGCGACAGCTTCAACTACGGATCTTACCATTCCTTGGAAGCTGTAAGTGTTTCAAAGCACGCTTGAGGCCAACACTCTCTGCTTGCCCGGCTTTGTAACTTCTCTCCTTCTATCCACCTTCAGCACGGTATCACTTCGTGGAAGGGGCTAAAATGTGTGCACTTTAAAGCCTTCCCCTCCACCAGCACCTATGTGCCCGTGAAACACAGCTGCAGTTTCCCCGACAGACACCCCGCTCCAGCAGCCTTTTAAAGGAAACCATGATATAATGGAGGTCGTTCCAGTCCTTGTAATTCATCCTTCTCCCCCATTGGAACCCCTAGCCCAGAATCAAATGCCATGTACTCCGGGCAAGCAGACAAGCGGTTATTTCCAAGGTTAACCAAATATTTCCACTCATTTTTCATGACTCCCTATACCGTATACTCGTTCCACGGTGCAATTTGGTGCTCTGTGTAGTTAGAAACCACTTTATATAGCTGACTTTCAAGGTAAGCCAAACTTTCAAATGAAGAATTTGGAGCTGAATAATTTCATATGATACTGGAACTTGAGAAGTCAAAAGGGACCTCAGAATGGAACAGTATCATTCGCAACATGGGTCTCTTTTGTCCCAAGTGTCTCTTTCGTTAGCTTGCAGACTCTCCTAGCTCGGGACCTCCTCCCAAATCTCAACTGTTCATCTCCCTCCTCTACCTTAATACGTGCTGTTCTTTATGTGCAGACACCATGTTCCTGGCACCTTTTTCATGAGGCGTATACCTCAAGTTGTTTTTCTCCCAGATGAGGGATTAGTTCAAAGGCTGGCCAACTATTTCTACTTCTTTCCCATGGTTGTCAGTAGCTTTGTTTATTGTATACACTTCCAACAGTTCTGCCCCTTGAGCCCTCTTGTGACCAATGACATACATCTGCAAAACAGCTGGATAAAGTTAGGAGCTCAGTTCAGTTTCAGGCCACGGGCGAAAGCAGAGCTCAGGGTCCACACAGGGATCAAACCCATAACACGTTAGCCTCACTAAAGTGGGGCCCTCCCCAGCTGACCTAGCCCGTTGCAAATGTCAACCAGGGACCAAGAGAGGCCATCCACTTACCTTTCCAGCTGTCTGTCTGCCTCACTTTCTCATCTGCTTGCTCCTGTTCCCATTGACTCGGGTGCCCCTTGTACAGTGAAGCGACCTCTAGCTAGCCCTTGTTCCCAGAGGCCTGTGACTGTGCCCTCTCTCTCTCTTGGCCAGCTCATTCAGGGTTCTTCCTAAAACCAACTCTGAGTGGCTCCTGTCCTGGTACCACTTAGGCTATTCTAGGTCTCCAGTGGGAATCCCACGTTTCCTGCTGCCAGGGTTTCTGATTTCAAGTCTTTGCGTGGCGATGGCTGACATGTGAATTTGCACCTCACATCTGGTATAGCTTGGAGGTTTTTAATACAGTTTTCCATTTATCCACCTATACATTTCTTGCCTATTATCTCTCTATCTCCCTCTCATCTGTCTGTCTGTCTATCTATCTATCTATCTATCTATCTATCAATCATCTATCTATCTATCTATCTATCTATCTATCTATCTATCATGTGTACGGGTGTTCATGTGCCATGGAACTAACGTGGAAGTCAAGAGGACAAGCAGTTTTCTCCTTCCATCATGTGTGTGCCAGGAGTCAAATGCAGACCTCACCTTGTCAGACGTGGTAGCTTGTGCCTGCTAAGTCATCATCAATGGCCCCAGCCTTGTGTTTAACCTCTCTCTCTCTCTCTCTCTCTCTCTCTCTCTCTCTCTCTCTCTCTCTCTCTCTCTCTCTCTCTTTCTCTCTTCCTTTCTTTCTGTTTTTGAGACAGGATCTCTCTGTGTAGTTCTGGCTGTTCTGGAACTCACTCTGTAGACCAGGCTGGCCTCAGACTCACAGAGATCCTCCTGCTTCTGCAGCCCGAGTGCTGGGATTAAAGGCGGGCTGCACCACAGTCAGCTTGTTTTAACTTTTTGTGGGCGACTTTCTTTTTCTTATGGCCCATGGCATCTACTCTGCTTTTCTTCAGTCTCTAGAGTCTGTGGGTTGGAAGAATTTTCAGGATGTCCCCCCTCCCCTTTGTTTTGAGACAAAGTCTTACATAGCATGTTGGCATGGCCTCCAGTTCCCCATGTAGTTGAGGATGACCTGGAACTCGGGATCCTTCTGCTTTCTGAATGCTGCCATTATAGGTGTGTACTACCACCCCTGATGTATGGGGTCCTGGGGATTGAACCCAGTGGCTCATGAATGCTCAACAAGTATTCTATTAACTGAGTTAGATATTCAACCTTCCAAGACCTTTGTGTGATAAACAAGAATTTTATTCCTCTATTACTCTCTCCCTTATTTATTATTTTTATGAGACAGGGGCTCTCATTGAACCTGGGCTCAGACTGGCTGGCCAGTGGTCCTCAGGGATCCTCCTGTCTGTGTTTCCCATCACTAGAGTTACAGTGCACACCACCACCACGCCAAGTTTTCTTCTTTTTTTAAAATTGTTTTTATTGAGCTATATATTTTTCTCTGCTCCCCTCCCTTTCTCTTCCCTCCCCCCACTCTCTCCCATGGTCCTCATAGTCCCAATTTATTCAGGAGATACTTCCCAAGTAGATTAGACCCATGTATGTCTCTCTTAGGGTCCTCTTTGTTGTCTAGGTTCTCTGGGATTATGATTTGTAGGCTGGTTTTCTTTACTTTATGTCTAAATGCCACTTTTGAGTGAGTACATATGATAATTGTCTTTCTGGGTCTGGGTTACCTCACTCAATATGATGTTTTCTAGATCCATCAATTTGCCTGCAAATTTCAAGATGTCATTTTTTTCTGCTGTTTAGTACTTCATTGTGTAAATGTACCACATTTTCCTTATCCATTCTTTGGTCAAGGGGAATTTAGGTTGTTTTCAGTTTTTGTCTGTGACAAACAATGCTGCTATGAACATAGTTGAGCACATGTCCTTGTGGTATGATTGAGCATCCTTTGGATATATGCCCAAAAGTGGTATTACTGGGTCTTGAAGAAGGTCTTTTCCTAGTTTTCTGAGAAATAGCCACACTGACATCCAGAGGGGCTGTACCAGCTTGCATTCCCACCAGCAATGCAGAAGTGTTCCTTTTACCCCACAACCTCTCCAGCATAAGTTGTCATCAGTGTCTTTGATCTTGGCCATTCTTAGAGGTGTAAGATGGAATCTCAGAGTTGTTTTGATTTGCATTTCTCTGATGGCTGAGGATGTTGAACATTTCCTGAAGTGTCTTTCAGTCATTTTAGATTCCTCTGTTGAGAGTTCTCTGTTAAGGTCTGCACCCCATTTTTTAATTGGATTATTTGTTCTTTTGATGACCAGTTTCCTGCCCAGCTTTTTATGTGGTTTTAGGGAGCCTGGGCTCAGGTCCTCTTTCATGGTGAGCATTTATTCATGGAGCTATTTATATTTCTTATTTTATTTTAGCTTTTTTTTTCTTTTTTTGAGACAGAGTTTCTCTGTGTAGCCCTAGCTACCCTAGAACTTACTCTGTGACCAGGCTGACCTTGAACTCACAAAGATCTACCTGTCTCTGCCTCCTGAGTGCTAAGACCAAAGGCATACCACATGTGGCTTCTTTTTTTATTTTATATTATACTTTATTTGTATTGTTTGTGTGGGGGACACATACACATTGTAAATGTTTTTTGTTGTTATTGTTTTGTTTTGATTTTTGGTAGAGAACAATTTAGCGAGTCCTGCCATTCAGAGCATTGGTAGGCAGGCCTATTCTGATGATCCAGTCCAGCATGATTCCAAGAGCCACACTTTGGAGCAGTATCTGTTTAAGTCTCTCTGCTTTACCTAAGTGGACTACAACTTTGCAAACAACTGACATGTGTATCCTCTAGAAAACTGCAGAAAGTAGCTCTGCAGGCAATCCCCTGTTGTAGCACTCCATGCCAGTAATGCGGCCAACCCCAAGGTTCGACAAGGAACTCAAGAGTGACAAGATAAGGCTCCCAGATACCCCGCCAATAATGGAATAGAATTATTTTTTATTCTTTTAATTTTTGCTTTTTTTCAAGAAAGGATTTCCCTGTATAGCCCTGACTGTTCTGGAACTTACTCTGTAGACCAGACTGGCCTCGAACTCACAGAGATCCACCTGCCTCTTCTTCCCGAGTGCTGAGATTGAAGGCGTGCGCCACCACTGCCTGGCTTGCACAAAGGAGCAGAATTTTAAAATATCATTGAGTAGTGGTGCATGCCTGTTATTGCAGCTTTTGCGAGAATGAGGTAGGGAGACTCCAAGTTCAGGACTAGGGTGGGCTACATAGGAAAACTGCAATTCAACAAATTAAAAAAAAAATCTTTAAAAAGTGTCTTTGGTTCACTTTTCCACACTTCAGATTTACCACGAGATGGACAGTATTGCCACAGACTTCCCCGACCTGGCAAGCAGAGTGAAGATCGGAGAGACATTTGAAAAGCGACCCATGTATGTTCTGAAGGTGAGACCTAAGGCCTTTCCAAGGGTCCTGACTTGACACAAACTTCTGGATCATAATTTACAATACTCAGCTAAGGTCTGCCAAAGAGAGGCCAGCTTTATAACCCCACTGGTTCTCAGGAAGGGATTGTAGTTTCAAGTCATCTTTGCTTAATCAGATATTTTGATCTGATTGAATCCCCTGCTCTTATCTGTAGGGGTGTTAGAAAGAGCATATCCCATTCTGAGAGGCTCAAAGGAGAGGCCTTAAGTTAGTGTTCCTTAAGACTCTCAGAGGCCCACAGTCTGCCTTCAGAGGCCACCTAGCCAGTTAGGCACAGAACTCAGGTGGCTTACATCAGAGTAGATGTAACTCTAAGTCCAACCTCGGGTTGTTGGCTGCATGGAGCCCCATTTCCAGGTATTTCTATTCGCGTGTGTCTTGGCAAAAGAGGTAGAGAACTATGACAATGACATAAATTACGTAAATAATCCAGCTGAATGCCTGGAAAGGAATTTGGGCATAAAAACCACGGAACAACTGGGGATGCTAAGAGTTCGCCAACCCCTTAGCTTCGTAGAAGCCAAGTTTACGGCAAATAGCTGGCAGGAGGGGAGACACACCGCTGAGCTGGCTCCTTTAAAATAATTACGTTTAGATTATTTGCCCATCTGATAGAGACCCCGGCTTCATTAGCACCAAGCTCTGACCCACAGAGCCCCGGTGCAACGGCAAAGGCAGCAGCAGAATTCATTACCGCTATTTACAAAGAGCTATAGTGAAGCTTCCTTGGCAATTTAAAACCGAATTCATTTATTACCTCAGCAGAAGAGTCTGGTTCGTGCACCCTTGTGTTTTTCTCTGCTGGGAGACCATTCGAGATCTTTCAAGGGACACACTATTCTTTTCCAACCACACTAGCATTCTGACCCACGATACCAATTGTTTCTCCTTTCCATTTGCTCTCAAAGCTGGAGAGGTTTGGGCTGCCCAGAGCCGCAGCCAACCAATTAAGCTCCCAGGTCACGGATAAGCCCGATAAATAGACGGTGCCCTCAGGAACATTTGGTCTCTGAATTATCTTAAATGAATTAAATGAATAGGAGTGGGCTGGGGAGAGGAGAGGTGAGGAGAGACGGGGACTGGCGGGTCATTTTCCGGCCTCTCTTCCCTTCTGCAGTTCAGCACGGGAGGAGGCAAGAAGAGGCCTGCCATTTGGCTGAATGCGGGCATCCATTCCCGTGAGTGGATCTCACAGGCCACTGCCATCTGGACTGCGAGGAAGGTCATGTCGCCCGGAATTAGCCAAGGGTTCTGGTGGGCCTGGGGTAGGGGGGACAGATCCATGCTGTGTAGCTGGGCCCAGGGGATTAGGTAGGAAGCTACTGTGCACAGACTTAATAGGCTGGCATCTTCTCGGGTGGGGGAAGTGAACCGTCAAAGCTCCTCTGTCAGCCCTCTCGCTGTGGTAAAGTGACATGCTTGCGAACAAGCTAACGGATTTCAAAGGTGGACCCTGCGAAAGGGACCAGGGCCTCACTCAGCACCTAACTGAGATCCGTTTTGCCTTCATCCCCTTCCAAGCTCTGCAGGGTCCCTGAGTTCTCATTTTGCCTCCAGATCCTTCAAGAAACTCCTTTGAGTCAGTGCCGGGAGAAAAGGGTGGAGTACTTGGAAGGAGTGAACAGAGCCACCTTCTGTCACTCGACAGTTAATATTGTCGTGCAGTCCTGTCCCAGGCTTTGAGGGACTCAGAGGGCTTTAGAGAGAGCCCATGGGGTTTCAGAGGGTAGAGGCCATCCAAGAGCATCCATCTTAGCAGGGTGCTGGGCATCTCAGGGAAACACCCACTCTGCCGTGATATTGCTGACAAGGGTGTTGTCTCTGCTTAGATTGTGACCGATTACCAAAAGGATCCAGCTCTTACCTCCATCTTGGAGAAAGTGGATATTTTTGTGCTGCCTGTGGCCAATCCTGATGGATACGTGTACACACAAACCCATGTGAGTAATTCCAAATGGCCGCGGCCTGGGCTCAACTCCCTGGTTGGATTCCATGTTTTGCGAGTGCCTTTGGAGAAGATTTCCACCAATGTGTGTGTTAGATGCTCCTTTGGGGTTTTTCTTTTCCAGTCAGCCTCTGAGCCACCAGGGAATATATTATTGCTACTTTAGAGAGAATAGTCTAAGAAACTCTCTATTGTGGGTCTTGAACAATTTTCAACGTTTTACCTATCTTCTATTCATCTTTTTCTCTCCCACACAATTTATTTTCTTGACATATTTTAAAGCAAATCCCAGACATCATGTTATTCCATCTACAACGACCTTAGCATGCATCTCTAGCTGCTGATAATAATAATAAAAAAAACCCAAACCCACTACTGCACTGTCACCTTTGAAAAATTAATGGGAGTTCTTTAATATCCTCCAACACTCCCCCATTATTTAAAAAAAAAAAACCATCTCTTAGGAGTCAATTTGTCGAAGTCAGGATCCAATAAGGTCTGTGCACGGGAGCTGAGGCTGTGTCTCTGATGTCTTTATTCATCCAGTAGCACCCCAAACACATCCTTTGAAAATGTCATTCATTTGTTGGAGAAACTAAGTCATTTCCTGTGTAATGTCTCACATTCCGCGTTTGCTTGATGGCTTCTTTGTTGTGCGATTTAATTTGTTCCCTTATTCCCTGCTTGAGAGCGTGATTGAATTCAGGTGACTGCCTTAGAATATAATAGGCCCCGTTGTATGTCTGCGGCGTGGGTGATGTTCAATGGCCATTGCTTCCCTTTCTGCACGAGACAATAGGGATTCAATGCATCCAGATGGGACCGGCTTGGTTCGTCTATAGAAAGATCTCATCAGGGCAGTTTGAGGGGGTCACTGTCTTTTTTTTTTTTTTTTTTTTTTTTTTTTTTTTTTTTTTTTTTTTTTTTTTTTTTTTTTTTTTTTTTGTGACAGTGTCTTACTATGTATGTGTTCCTGATTGGCTTGGAGTTATGTTAAGCAGGTTGGCTTTAAATGCACAGAGATCTACCTGCCTCTGCCTCCCAAGTATTGGGATTAAAGGTATATGTCACCATACCTGGTCCCAAATTCCTTCTTAAAGCCAGAGGTATGCACCTTCTCCCCTGTGAGGGTTGACAGCAGAGTGCCAAGGCAGTGGACTGGAGTCTAGGCAGGGACCCATGCAGCTCAGCCCATCTGTTGTGGTCTTAGCTTCCAGAGAAACCTTTACTGCTCCTGTATCCTGACATACCTTGAGTGTTTGGGGGCTTTTTCAGAATCGATTATGGAGGAAGACGCGGTCCCGGAACCCAGGAAGCCGTTGTATTGGAGCTGACCCAAACAGAAACTGGAATGCCAGTTTCGCAGGTAGGTGGGGAGGCAGAGTCAACCCCACAGCACTGGATGAACCTGTCCACGAATGCCTGCAGGGTGGGATAGGAAGCCAGTCTTCATTCTGCTCTTCTTCCATTTGCTGTGAGACCCCGGGACCTCCCTGAGGCTCTCTGTGTCTGCGTGTGTTCTGTTTTGTTTTTAAGTCTTATTGTTGTGATTTTGAAAGGGAATGATTCAATCATCTCTGCCCTCCTGAGAAAACAGTGGGTCAGACGGTCTTTGCATTGTGATTATGACTGTTAGTTTCAAATATTTATTTATTTACCTAATTGATTTGTTGTGGTGAGGCTTTGCACATTCTAGTCGAGTGCTCCACGACTGAACTGCTTTTTACACTAATGTTTTAAAAACCACACGCATCTCAGACACATGATTCCAAGGCCTCTCTTTAGCCCTGGCCATTCCAGCTTTGCCTGGGCAAATTGTGGCTGGGTAGAAGGGTTCCTGACGGCAAGCCAAAAGAGAACAGTTAGCACTGTTACTCTAATGGGCCTGTAGCAAAACTTAAATTCTAGCAGCCCCTCTTCTTCTTGCTAGTGTTAATCAGCAGCTAGCAGACATGGAAAGCAAGAATGAGGTGATCTGGGTTCTGAGATCCAGGTGCTTAAAAGCCATCCCCACAAAAGTATCACCCATTGTACATGTATTTTGTTCTTGCTTAAAAGCCATCCCCACAAAAGTACCCCCTATTGTACATGTATTTTGTTCTTCTTGCCCATTGGATGGATTTTTGTTCTTGAAACTCAAGGATAATCTCAAGATTACATAACTGATAAAAAAAATCACCAAATAAACTTCACCCTCCAGTTTTAAATTTACGAGCTCAAGGCCAATGTGGACTACGTAAAATCTGTGTATGAAATCCTGTGTTGAAAACAAAAACAAAACAAAATAAATTATAAGTATTTATTTTACTTTTTTGCTGTACCAGGAATCAAATCCAGGGCCTGTGTGTGCCAGGCAAGCTCTTTACCATTGAGCTATACCCTGGTATCCCAGCATTTTGTTTTGAGTGGATTTATTTTAATTATATAGAAATGTCATAAAAATCACAGGGAAAATAATGATTGGAGGATGGTAACCAGCTAGCCTGTCAGTCAGTCACTCAGTCATGACTGTCTCTCGCTCTTACACACACACACACACACACACACACACACACACACACACACACACGTACACGCACGCATGCACACACGCATGCACGCACACACACACATACACACGCACGCAAACTCACATGCCAAGGCATGCTTTCCTGTGAAACAATGCAGAAGGCAATCTATCAAAATACCTGTTAAGTAATCAAGAGATTTTTTTAAAAACCACAACAATAGATTATTTTTGGCAGCAGTTGGCCATTAAGACCTGAACCAATAGAATAAGTTGACACCAGAATAAATGGAGTCATTTTCATTATTTATTGGTATTCATATTAATTATCAAGCATACTTATTAATTACAACTTGTTCTTGAGTGTGACATTAATTATTTATGACAACTGCTATTAGCACAATACAAGGTCAACTCTATCCACTTAAAAAAGTCGCAATACTTTTCCTTCTCATTTGTAGCAACGTCCCCCGCCCCCAAACTCCCTCCTTGTCCCTTCCCCAGAATCTGTACCTGCCATGAATAGATTCTTAGGGGCATCTTGATAAATACCTGTCTACCATTCCAGTCAGACTTGGGGTTGACAGTCCTCATGTCTGTCTTCTTGGCCTTTGGGTTACTTGTTACCGATAAACTCTTCTCCGCAGGAGAAGGGGCCAGCCATAACCCCTGCTCTGAAGTGTACCATGGCTCCCACCCTAATTCTGAAGTGGAGGTGAAATCAGTGGTGGATTTTATTCAAAAGCATGGGGATTTCAAATGCTTCATTGACCTGCATAGCTACTCACAGCTGCTGATATATCCCTATGGGTACACAGTCAAGAAGGCCCCAGATGCTGAGGAGCTGGTAAGTGATGGAGGGTCTCTGCCTAGTCCCCGACCGCTTGACTTTGGCACAGCCAAGGTGGCTGACTGAGCTACATAGCTTTCGAGGGCAAATACAGGCGCCTTAGAGAATATTTCCCTGCGCTTTGATTTGTGCCATCAGACCCAGGAGGGACAGAAAGAAGATAGTCCCTCTCTCATCTCTCTGAGTTCTAAGACTTTGTCCAGCCTGCACATTTGATTTTTCTAGCTAGAACATGACACAGGTTCGCTACTTGCTAAAGACCGTGGTTGGCACCGTAATGGGAAGGGGAGGCGTCTTCGCTCTGGTTAAGGAAGAAGTAAAGGTCATAGGTCATAGCCTAGGGGTTCTGTGTCACAGCCATGACTCACTCCTGGAAAAGGGAAGGTACCTATAGGTGGACCAGTAGGAGTGGCATCTTCAGAGTAGCTGCAAGCCTTTGCCCCATGCTGGTATGGTCTGCTGGGGCTCCACCCTGTTCCCAGGCCACCACTAGCCCACAAGTCTGTGTGTTGAAGAAGCCCCACCCAGACTCATGGCTAGATGTGGACCAAATTTTGGTTCTCTATTCAAGGCCTCCTTACTCTTGAGCATACTTGGCCTTCGGTCATGTTCCTGAACTCAACATTCCTCTCCTTTAGGATATCTTAGTACTCCGTCTTAACTAGATCCCCCTCGGGCTTGGCAAGAAGCTCTCTAGGCCTTAGGAAAACTTGCGCGAAGCTCTTCCAGCCAGAGTCTCTAGTGCATGCTTCCCGAGAGCTCACTGGTCTCTGCTCACCTCCCAGGATGATGTGGCGAGGAGTGCAGCCGAAGCTCTGGCTTCCCACTCGGGCACGAAGTACCAAGTAGGACCCACTTGCACCACTGTCTGTGAGTACGCCTGCGTGGGAGGTATTTAGAAAGTGCCTTGGGAGGAAACTTGAAATGGGGCTGGAGGAAGGATGTGGGCTTTACTTCCTTGTTGTTGTCTGATTGTTTCGGTAGTGAGACCAGAATTTTTTTTATTGGTATTTATTGAGCTATACATTTTTCTTTGCTCCCCTCCCTGCCTCTCCCCTCCCTCCTTCAATCCTCCCCCAAGGTCCCCATGCTCCCAATTTACTCAGGAGATCTTGTCTTTCTCTATTTTCTACTTCTAGACCAGAATTCATGCTAGGACTTTGCGACAAATGGCTATTGTAGGCTGTCATCTTCATCTGGGTCACTACTGCTCACATGTGTTTATCATGTGCCCTTGATGAGTTAGGGCCCGTCAGCAGGTAGACTCTCCCTTCCTTATTTGGATTACGATTCCTGACATGTTTTATCAAAAAGCTATCAAAAGCCTATCCGCCATTTTCGTATGTGTGTTTTAGTCTGCACATGTGCATGTGTGTACACATGTATGTGCATGTGTGTACACATGTGTGTATGTGCATGTGGGGGCCAGAGGTCAATGTTGGGTGCTGTCTAATCGCTACTGTTTCCTACTTTCTCTTCTGAGACCGGGTCTCTCACTGATTGGCTAGACCGGCTGGCCAGCAAGTTCCAGGCATCTGCTTGTCTCTGCGCACTAACACGAGGGTTACAGACCCACGCCACCATGTTTGCTTTGATCTGTGTGAGTGCCGGGGATCCCAGACTCAGGTTCACGTGCTTGAGTTGTTTCCCCAGCTCCCTATCCATTTTAGAGGAAACTCCCAGCTTTGTGTCGGGAGATGGGTGGTAGCGATATAGGTGTTAGGATGAACAAGAGGAAAGGAGTCCTCTAACTAGGATTAGTATCTCGCAAAAAAGAAAAGAAACCTACCAAGTCCCCGAATCTAAACATGGCCTTGAAGCTTGTCACCCACAGCCTCTTTTGGAGGACTTTATTTGTTCTGGTCTCATCTGGGCAGCTTCTGTTGACATCTTGCCAAGGCTCTTATTTTGGGAGTCTGTCTTCAAGGGATGGGGAAATGCCATACGGCGCAGCTCTGGCTAAATGGCAAGCATGAGTGTGGACACGGGAAGAGCAGTTCTGCTCCCTTGTAATGGAGTTGTCCCTCAACAGTGCCTTCTCCATGGCAACCACTGTCTCCTTTGCCTCTGATCTCAGCTCTCTCATCTCTGTGTGTGTAGCTACAAAGCAACATAAAGCAGTTAGCACGATGCTGGTGTTTGTCTTGCTAATTGCAGCAACAATCCATTAATTATTCATAGTTTATTGCTATTAGTGTGGTTAAATGGGAACTCTTCAGAGGACACATCTGGAGACTAGCTCCACCCTCCGCTTAATCAGCCAGGAGTGATGGCGGATGAGAGAGCGAGGGGAGACGTGCTAGGTGTCCCTTGAGGAGGTCTTCCCCAAGATCTTTGTGGGTCACCAGGGTCCCTGCTTTTGGGTCAGACATCAGTTTAAATAATGGCCTTGTTTTCCCACATCAAACACATTCTTTCCCCCAGCGTGAGCTGTGTCAAGTCAAGGGATACTCACCAGATGCCTCAGAGGAGGAGGAGGAGGGCTCTCTGGAGGCTAAGAGCGGGAAAACTTCACACCGTTCCAGACTCTGTACTCTTCAGGTCTTCTCTGCCTCTGCTGCTTTCTAGAAGAGGAGTTGGTTTTTGTATATTAGAAGTCTGTCGCAGCCAGGGGCTCTGGCACGTGCCACATCCGTGGTTGACATCTGTACCTCTACGTGCTGGCCCTTCCTTAGGGTCATCATTTTAGACGAAAGTAATCCTCACTTTCTTGCCTTTTTAAACAAAGCACAGAGAAAAGGGTTCAGCCCCTCCCCACCTCCACAACTGAGTGGTTTTCTGAGGATTAATTATTACATCCTGAGGACCCGATATGTCATTTTGGACTGTAAGGTCCTTCTGCTAACTAGCTTCACCCCATTTTATGCTTTAAGTCTTGTGTCTGCTTTTTTTTTTCAAAATTAATGCTTTTTAAAGTTATTATAGAAAATAATGAGCTCCACAGTAGTGTTCTCATGCATATATGTCCTGCTCATATATGTCTGTCACACGACACCCACCTCCTCCCACGGGTTTGTCTGCTCTTCAGAGTCTTATGTCTCCTTCCTCCTGTCAGGCTGTCATGGCCATTTGTCCTGTCCCTGAGCATCCCGCTCCTTTTCTCTTTACTGATTCTGATTCACTCAGGGCTTCTGAGCTGGTATGCTCTGGGGCTCATGAGACTATGATAAATCATGGTTTCTAAGGATGCTTGTGACAGCGTTACTTATCAGCACGAAAGTCTGGTGTTCATCTAAAATGTCCATCAGGAGAGGGCCAGATCATAACACAATTGCTGCATTCATACAGGGGAGCATTAAGCTGCCCTTAAATGAATTAGGTGGATCAATGTGTCCTAATGGGGAATGATCATCAAGTGTTAATTGAAAAGTAGAACGTGTAGAACGGTGTTAATAGTATATTCCTGCCGGCACATGTGCGCGCGTACGTGCATGCATTCACGTGCGTTTGTGTGTGTGTGTGTTTTAAAAGATCTAGGGAGATAGCTTGGTTAGTAAGGGGCTCTCTTGCAAGCATGAGGACTAAGTTTGATCCCTCAAACCTGTATAAACCAAGCATTGTGTTGTGCACATTTAAGCTCATGCTGAAGAGATGGAGACAACTTAGCACCACCGGTGAGTTCCAGGCCAGTGGGAATCCTTGTCTTGAAACACACAGTAGACAGCTGTGAGGAACAGCATCTGAGGTTGATCTCCAGCCTCCACATGTATGTGCACACCCATATGTCTGCATGAGCACCCATATATGTATACGTGCGAATACAAGCAAGAGTAGGTACACATTGAGTAAGGAATTAAACAAAATGGAGTTTATGAACATGATCACTTTGAATCCTATCTGCTTCCTTCCGATATCTTTCAAGTATGTTACGAAATATTTGAGTTTATCATATAAAGGACCACTGGACATGCTAGGTACTGTTTGCTTTCAGCTGGAGCATTTTCTCAGGGCACACATACTGTGGGGATCACACAAGGGTTTCTGAGAGCATAGCAGAGCCCATTCCATTCCCTTGGGAACATACGGTCTCCGAGGAAGCTGTATCTTTAGGAAAGTGTGTCCATGAGAAACAGTTCTCAGGAATAAGGGAAAGAAAGGGACTGATCTTACGTTATCAGAAGGGTCAATCCACCAGATGGACCTCAAGTCGGTTGGATGGACCACTTGAAAGGATATGGGCTTAAATTCCCAGCTCTGTCATGTTCTGCCTGTATTTCCTTAGCTGCTTTCCCACCCGAAGACTGGACTTTTCCCATCTATAAACCAAGGGCAGTAAAAAAAAAAAATCACTGGATTTTAAAGATAAAGATACCATGAGGGACCTGCTCATGGCAGATGCTGAGAAAAGAACATCTGCTATCGTCATCAGTTTATTAGTGATGATTGTCATTTTATGAGTGACAGTACATTTTCCACTTGTAGGTCAGTTCCTGCTCTAGTAGTGTGCCTGGGAAGAAGTAGAAAAATAGACCTCCTATGTCTTTCAAGTCTTCCGGCAAGGGAAGTCCCAAGGAATGTGTTTCCTTTTCCTGTGTATCAGTTATCTCTTGCTGTGTTAAAAAAAAAAAAAAAACAAAAAACAAAAAACAAAAAACAAAACTAGGCTAAAACCTCCCAGCTTAACGTGATAAACATTTCTTTTCTTACCTGGTTTATGCGGGTCAAAAATTTAAAAAAATCTTATGTGGACAGCTCTGGGGCAGGGTCTTGCAGGAGGTCACAGTCAAGTTGTGTTCCCAGGATGCAGTCTAGTGGACTTCAGGGAGCAGTCTGCTTGTAGGGTGGCCCGCTCCAGTGTCCAATGAATTAATGCTGATTCTTGGCAGGAGGTTGCATTTCTTCACTGAGCCTCTTCGTTGGGCACCCTGGGCATCCTTTCAACAGTGACAGCTGGTTCTTCCCAGACCAGTGGCCCAAAGACAAGCAAGGCAGAGCCACACTGGCTCGCATACCAACTTTCTGCAGTAGCTTGTTATCTCCGGGTATGAGGCCAGCCTTATTCTGTCTGAAAGAGGATGACACAGGGCACCATTTCAAGGAGACAGGGATCGCTGGGGCTAGCGGGGGATGCCTGTCTCACTTGATTCCGAACTCGCTAGGTTTGAGTTTCCTGGAGGATTGTAGCGATCTAGTAAGAAAATGGGAATGGGGATTCCATTTTGTGGCATATGTATACATGTTATATGTTTGTGTTTATGCATGTTCACATGTATACATGTATTCGAACATGCAGGTAGAGGAATTCACTGTCTTTTTTCAATCATTTCCAACCTTATTGAAGCTGGGTCTCCCCAGAGTTTGTCCATTCAGCTAGTCTTGCTAGCCAGGTTGCTGCAAAGATATTCTGTCTCCGCCTCCTGAGCACTGTGGTTAGAAGTGGGCCACCATGCCTAACCAACATTGTGTGGAGTCTAGGGATCTGAACTCTACTGCACAAGCTTGCATGGCAAGTGGTTCGCCCACTGAGACATCTCCCCAGCCTTGGGAATGAGGATTAAAACCTCTTAGCTTGAGGCTTGAACAGAACTTCACGGTGCGGGATGGATAAGCCCTATGGATGGAGCCAATGTGTCCTTTTGAACATATATGTCTTAGGACCTGGGGACTTCCAGAAAGAGCTCTGGATTCTAAGGAACTCCATCCTGTAATTGGACCGCCAGCTATCAAATAACACCAGGGAGACATTATCAATTCCCACTAGCCCTTATAACTTAAATTAACACATATTTTTAGTAATTTACATTCTACCACATGGCTTTTACCTCTCTCCTATTTTGTGTGTCCAACTCGTTCCACGTCCTGGTGGCATCTCCTGAGTGCCTCGATTCCCTCCTCTTCCTTTCTCTCCCCGGAAATCCTGCCTTTACTTCCTGCCTAGCTATTGGCCGTCCAGCTTTTCATGACACCAATGACACATCTTCACACAGCGCACAGATATCCCAGACACCATCCAGACAGAGGGCCCTTTCCCACAGTGCCCTAGAGGGAAGTTGGCGTCAATGGTATCCTCTTCTGTCTTACAGACCCAGCCAGTGGGAGCAGCATCGACTGGGCATATGACAACGGCATCAAGTATGCCTTCACATTTGAGCTGAGAGACACCGGGCACTATGGCTTCCTCTTGCCGGCCAAGCAGATCATCCCCACCGCAGAGGAGACCTGGCTAGGACTGAAGACCATCATGGAACATGTGCGGGACAACCTCTACTAGTCAAGGAACCCACGTATTTCAGCCATAAGCCACCACGGAGGCCGCTGTTAAAGAAGATCACTTTTCCTGCGTGGATCAGAGCCTTCCTGGCTCAGCTGGCTCTCCATCAGTACTGCTCCCTAGAGAGCAACCTCTTGGTGGGCCCGTGAGGAGCTCTTCCATGAGTGTAGTGCTTGGTCCTGCTATGTTGCTGAGCCCCTGGTATACCTCTCTACCCATGCATGGTTGGGCATGCCCCAGTCACATAGATATGGCTGCCTCACTTTCGGAACACCTCTCGTGGCTCTCTGGTCTCTACATCTAGCCAGGCCAGGGATCTGGCTCCAGCGGGGAACTATGGGAACTGCTGGGGGAGACAGTGCTTATCTTTAGAACTCCTTGTATTTTCCCTCTTTCTGACTTGTTTTTCTTTCTTTTTTCTTTTAGACAGGGTCTTACTATGTCGCCCATGCTAGCCTGAAACTCCTGGGTCAAACAGTGTTTCTACCTCAGTCTCCCCAGGAGTGGGGTCCAGCTCAGAAACACACTTTTCTTTGAGGAACAAATCCTATTGAACCATCAACATTGGTCTTTCTGGCCTGCCTATTCTTCCTACTCCTATTACTGTTGTTGTTGTTATTGATAGGGTCTCTCTATGTAGCCATGGCTATCCCGGAACTTGCTATATAGACCAAGTTGGCCTCGAACTTACAGAGAGACCCCTGGCTCTGCCTCTGAAGTACATTAAAGAGATTAAAGATGGGCATCACCACACCTGGCTCCTCTTAATTTTTTTTTTTTTTGTTGGCTTGAGCATACAGCCAGGCTCTTGTCCATCCCAAGGCTCGGTGTTCAGATGATGCCCGTTATTGTTACCCTCTTCTCTTTATGTTTGGCGTTACTGAGACTCTCAGAAAGGTCAGTTGTACTATAGGGGATGTTCACATGGGTCTCGGAGGAAATGGGGAGTAGACTGCAGGATCACTCGGTGAGCACCATCTGTCCCATTGGTCTCCTCTCCGCTCTGCCTTTTGAACTCACTTCAGAGATCTTGCCCTCACCCCACAGGCCCTAAATCATCCCTATAGCCTGGACAATCTCAGGCCCTCAGCACATTCCAGCTTGAGCCCTGGTGTCTCCTGTGTTTCCGCCTCCTGGCTTCTTTCCTCCTGTGTTCAAAGTCACCTTCTATTTGCATCCTGGACCCTGAGTACCAACCGGGAACAAGACTTCATCAGCAGCCAGACACCTCCTGATCTCTCCTTAGCACTTACCATCTGCCCAGATTGTGTTGCGGTTTTCGTTTTTGTGGGCCTTTTCCCCCCCCTGTTTTCAATCATGTCTGTAAATCTTAACCTTCTGCCTAGGATTTGGGCAGCATCTGGTGTGTCCTCATAAGCCAATAAATATTCAATATAGGTTTATGATCATCCTTTATTCTTTGCCTTCACCTGAATGGAACTGAGCCACAGTCTTGAATATGCAGCTCTTTATAATGTCAAAAGTAAATTTGAATCCCTGTTCCTACCGCATGACATGTGCGCAGGCCTATTTCATCAGGCAGAGGGGCCTCTGGGGCAATGTTACCTTGGTGATTTCTCTCTGGCTGGTTCTAGTTCCTTGGTTTTCAGCCCAGAAGCTTGATATCCACTGCTTCCGTGTTGATTAGACCCGGGGATGCTGACTCACGCCTTCCGAGCCCGGATGAGGCAGATGATAAAATCAGAATACGAATTTATTAATTTACATCATGGCATGTAACTGTTTAATGGATTGGATCCTCACGTCGGCCTGAACAGGATATTCTCAGTACATTCTCTCCCTGTAGGCGAGATACATGGGCAGCCAAATTATAATCAGGAGGCTGCTTACCGAGCAGGCGTCGGAGCAAGGAAAGTTAATTAGAGCCTATGATTAGAATTTTTAATGGCACCCAGCTCTAATAGAATGATATGTCTACTTCTATAACCAGAACACACCCGCCAGCTGGACATCTTTGTACTCAACACAATGCTTGCCTCTGTGACCCACCTGTAACCTGGCTCCATTTCTGGCCCCTGCCCTCAGATGGAGATTTTTCCTTCAGATTCCTTAAGTAGGCATGAGGTGCCAGAAAAAAGAATGATCCGTGTGACTAGAATAAAACCAAGGGCATTAATTAATTCTTTAAAAGATACAGCCAAGCAAGTTATAAGTCACTACACACAACAATGAATATATGCAGGCCTGGAGATCGGGAAGAGAACACAAATAACCTGGTGGGGGAATTGGGTAAGTTATCTGAGCAAGCATATCACGTAAGAGGAAGGAAGTATGTCTGACAGGGATGGCGAGGGACGGAGGGCGCAACAAGCTCGCGGTGAGATACCACTCTGCTCAATCTGTTGACAGAAAGGGAAACGTCGGAGTGGATGTGAACGGAAGGGTCTCTTACATATTCTTAGCGGGCAGATGAATTAGTAAAACCACGAGTGTGGAAACCATTACCTCACTATCTCCCGAAGCTTACAGCTCATCATCCAGGTACTTCCACCCCAGAAGCAAACCTGAGAGATTCGATGGGAGATTTATGTGAGAATAGTCATAGAAACAACAGTAATCACAGTGAAGACCTAGAAATAGCTCGACAGATCATCAGTATGAATGCTGGTAAATAAAGTACCGTTTGGTCACATACTGACACGTTGTCTATCAACCAAAATCGAATGATTTCTTTTTTAGAAAGCGAATACTGCATACCCACACAGATAGACACACGGACGGACATGCCCACACAACACATACAAGGAAGACATATAAATTTTGGTAAAATTATTTAAGGGAAGACCTGCCCTGACCCCTTCTTCCTTGTAAAATGCACTGACTTCCTAGCTGCTGTGAGTGTTCACTGCCAACTGTTCAAATCTTACTTCCTTCCTTCTTTAAAAAAACAAAAGAAAACAAACGCCACATTTGTACTTCCTCCCCTCTGTGTGCATATGTGTGTGTGCGTGTGTGCATGTGCGTGTGTGCGTGCCCGCGTGTGCGTGCCTGTGTGTGCATGTGCGTGTACATTCATGCGGGTCAGAGGACCACTTTCAGGAGTCAGTTCAAGCCTTCCGCCACGTGGGTTCTGGTAAAGGCTCTTGGCAGCCAGTGCCTTTACCCACAGAGCCATCTGGCTGGCCCAGGCCTTATTCCCCTTTCTAGAGACTTTGATGTCGGCCAAATAGTCTGCCTCAGTTAGGAAGCTATGCTTTTCTCCTTGACCCCGCCTCTCCAATGTGGCTCATGACTCTCTGCTTCAAGACAAGAAACAATTAATTATTTGCCTCAAGGTAGGACTGATAGATAGTTGGGCATCAACGGGCTCCACTTATCCTGGGGGGGTCAGGATGGGGCCTGTTGACAACAGAGTCAGGCAGGTCATCCATGTTCAACTCCCTCTCTCCCTTCACTCTGCTGGTCGTCTGGAGATCACCCTCTTCCGCAAAGGTATCACTTACAGAAGACTGGTACAGGCTCTGTTTCCAGGGAGATGACTTCAGACAACAGGATGAAAACCCAGGATCCCAAGTGATGATTATCACCGTCAGGGAGAGGCAGGAGGGTGGGGAAGGCTCCAGATAAAGCCCCATCACTGATGAGCATGCCATTCTCCGAGGCTCGTGATTAATATATTTCTGTAGACCCGAATCCACTTTAAAAGATATGTATAAAGATAGGAATTTTAATTTTCAAACGTTCGTGTTTATCGTGGATTTATGGTGCTTCTGTTAGCGCTGGGGACGATTTCAGCTGCGTTGTGACAGCAGATGAGAACAAAAGCTCTTCCTGCATGGAAACGTGGGGATGGAGAGGCAGGAAGCACCAAGTTTACAGCGAAATGAAGGAGTTCATTTGGGTAAACAGTAATCCAGAGATAAGGCAGGTCACTTAAAGGGTGCCTGATAATGGGCTCTAGATGGAAAGAAACAGAGAGGGCCGCACCTGGGAATTTGCTTTAAATTATTTTTAACGTTATTCTTTGTCTATTTCCCTAAACCACATGGATGGGGGAGTTAGATTTTATTTTCTACAGTTTATGGAGGGAAGCATCTCAAGGGCTGCACGTTTCTTGTCTTCGATGAATAACGAAAACGTCCTGTTTTCTAAATGAAAACCCCACAGACAAAGACCGGAGCTACTATAAACCTGCACGGGTACAACAAACGTTCCTGAAGACATTTTAGTCAGAAAGGCCTCTCTCTGTGTGTCATCGAGTCAGTGTCCGCAGGATTTCCCACCCATAAAGATGGCAGTGAGGGTAGAAAGGAGCTAATTCGTCAATCTTGTGCTCTTGGTGTGTGTTCATGTGCCAAGAACACACGTGTATGTCAAGGCTGGTCCCCAGTCCCCGATGTGTTCATTCATCCAGGCTTAAAGCTTGCTTTTTCCATTTGTGTGTGTTGTATGTGTGTTTTTAGTGGGGTGCGGTGGGGGTCTGGGGACATGGGTTCTCTCCTTCCACTAAGTGGTTCCTGGGGATTGAACCCAGGTTGTCAAGAGCCCCTCCTTGGCCTGGGACTTGCCAATTCAGCTAGGCCAGTTAGCCAGTGATCTCCCAGAGATCCAACTGTTTCTACCTTCCCAGTGCCGGGGTTAAAAGCGTTTGCTGCCATGGGTTCTGTAGACCATATTCAGGTACAGATACTTGTGGGGAAATCACTCTATAGCTTAAGGTCTCCCAACCCGAGTTTTCTTCACAGTCTGTGTGCGTGTGTGCGTGTGTGGAGGGAGGGGGCAGGATTCAGCTCTTTCCAGGTCTTACTCCAGGTTCTCTCGGGACCAAAAGATGCTCGTGGAACCACTGACTTGAGGACGGCAGTCTGAAGCTGGTGTGGGAGTCGCCGCTGCCTGTGTGTTCTCCATACTGAGCCACCTGCAGCCACTTAGGCGTCATGCCGTGCACGCCTGCCTTGTGGTCACAGGAGGTGGGGAGCAGCAGAATGGCCCAGCTCCTTCAGCTGTGTGACCTTGCACCATGGCATACTCTCAGAAAGCCTCAGTTTCTCATTCCTTTCTCAGGGGTGAAGTGCTGGAGATACATGCAGGGACCTGTGTCTGGCCGGCATGCGCTGCACCCCTGAGTTATTTATACCAAGCTCTGCCTATTTTTTTTTTATTTTTTGTGAGACAGTGTCTCACTATGTACCCCTCGCTGATCTGAAACTTGCTATGTAGACCAGGCTGGTCTCAAACTCAGAGAAATACTTGCCTCTGCCTTCAAAAGTATTGGGATGACATGTGTGTACCACCACGGCTGGTTTTCTATCATTGAAGTGTGAATGGTGTTAGAATTCACAATGCCTTACCAAGAAAATTAAGTGAGCTAATGAAGTGTTTCATTCCTTCCGTGGCAGTAGGGACACTCAGCATGTGTCAGAGAGGGTCCCTCACCAGCCGGCGGCAGTTCATCTACAAATCAAGTCACGGGCATTTTCTTCAAGTGGACTCTTGCTTGCTTGGGGCTTATGACACTGAAAGCAAGGATCTCAATAGTTTACAGAGAAGCACAGTTGAACCCGAAGTCACTTACAATATTGTTGGGTTTTTGGGACTAGAGAGATGACTCAGTGGTTAAGAGCACTGACTGCTCTTCCAGAGAACCTGGGTTCAAGTCCTAGCACCCACTTGGCAGCCGACAACTGTCTGTAACTCCAAGATCGGATATCCTCACACAGACATACATGTAGCAAAACACCAATGCAAATAAAATAAAAGTAAAAATAAAGAACTTTATAAAAAATATTGTTGGGTTTTAATATATTGTTTCTCTCCC